GGTTTTGGTGAGGAGGATAAAGGGATGCTGATGGTGGTGTTGGCGAGGTCCAATGGTGCCAGAATCAGGTCGGATTTCTGGCTTGGCCAGGATCCTCTAGGGGTTATTGGAGAAAAAATTGAGATGTAGGGGTTACTTTGAGAGAAAAGTAACGGTATTAATTTAAGGGTAAGAATCTGCAATTTATGAAAGCAATGGTGGGAACTTGCAAATTCACCAAACCTTGGGTGGGGAAATGTCATTTACTCTTTTTATAATTTGAGGGTAGGTCCTAGGTCTGTCCCTACCTATTAAGGGTCGTGGAGACTCGAATTTGGAAGATCATGTTAGATCCGCATTTTGCTCTTTTCCTATAGAGATGACTCGAATTTAAGAGACTATGTTAGATCCTAATTTACTATTTTATCATCAAGTCACCAAATGGTGGTTAACCTTAACCTTCCGTTATCTAAAATTATTTTTTCAACGAGGAAATTTTTTTTTTTTCTAATAAAAGAAAAGAAAAAAAAAAGTCCTTTAACAAGATTTTGATCGACATTAATGTAATTTGATTTTTTCACGAGGTGATGAGGGGGGGCTAGCTAGAAAGGGATGAAGCCATATTCTAGATGGAAGTTATGATGAATACATCATACTCACACACGGGTTGTAAGTAATTCATTAGATGAATATCTTTACGAATGATTTTTAGGATGTAACTCTTCATGTTTTACATGAATAATAGGTGTCTTAATTTCTCTTTTGAGTGTTTTCAATATTCCTTATCCCATTCAGTGTGTGAATCTCACAATCCATAATTTACATGCAATAACCAAATATGTTGAGTAAAATTAATAACTCAAATAAATTAAAACCTAACTAGCTAGCAACTAATTAACTAGCAACTATCCAATATATTGCCGCTAACTGCTACACCTACGAATCTACGTGACTTATTTGATGATGAGATTAAAATTTTCCAATTTTCTCATTGAATTTCCCCTTTTCAGTGGCCCCTTCCTCCTCCTTCTTCATGTGTCCCTCGCTTTGCATTTAACTCTTCTTACTTTTCAACACCATTTCTTTTCCTTCTCTCATTACTCTTTTCAATTTTATCTCTTTAGTCTATACTCTTCTTTTCCTTCGTCACTTTCACTTTCAGCCATGCATCGTCACCGTTTCTTGATCTTGATAATGCTTCTTCTCCTTCTACTCGTCTTCTCCACTTCTGCAACTCGCCTTCCTAAACCGTCTTCTTCTCCAAGAAATTACCACTACAGTACTACTACTGATCATGATGATCATCATCATCAGCACCACCACCATTATTCTTGTGATTCTTTCTCTAATAAGAAGTCGCGTTTGTTGTGCATTCAACTTCAAAGAATTCACCACTCCCAGCCTCCTCCGTCCCCGCCACCGCCCTCCTCACCTAATGACCTTGACCCGATATACGGTGTAGACAAGAGACTCGTCCCCTCCGGACCAAACCCTCTTCACAATTGAGAGAAATTTCCACTCTCTCTTAACTTATAGTACTTTTTATCCCTACTTTCTTGAAGCATTTCTTGGAGATGACCAAAGTTACTACTGAAGAGAGGATTAATCTTTGGCATCATCAGTGGGTAATCATAGATTGTCAAGAAATTAAGAGCAGTTTAATTCCTGGTTAATACTGTTAATTATTGGATTTTCTTTTTCTTTTCCTGTTTCATTTGATTGGCATGTGATCATATGTATATGAGGTTGTTATTTCCATGCTTGTTTTTGGATTTATGGACGTTGTTTAGCAAGAATTAGGGTAGAAAATTTTGTGGGAATCGAATGGTGGAAGCAACAAAAACAATCATGGAAATAGTCTACCATTTGCCATTGGAGAAGATGAAGTCCAATAGAAACCAATGAGTTTCATTAATTCTGAAGGCAAGACTGTCATTTTGGAAATCTGTTTTTGCTATATTCATGTTTTTCATGTATAGTGCTGATTAATGGTATCAATATGAATTAATATTTTTTTGGTTAATTTATTTTTCTTAATTTATTATTATTATATATGTAGATATCTTGTAAATGAATGAATGAGCTGTGATTTTAGTTCTAGAACCAGTACGTACATGGGCAAAATGTGTTATGACTTTTCATTTGTGTGTTGCTGGCCAAAGCAACACAATCCTATTCATAGTATGAAATGTGTCATGACTTTGTTTTTCAGATTTATTTGAAACCACTTTTTTGCTTAGCTGGGTTTCAAACGTTTTTTAGAAGCAACGTGCTGTTGAACGGAAGTTAATTTCAACAACACTTACAACTGCTTTTTGTAAAGTACCACTTATTATATCACTTGATTTCTTTAATTAAAATATTTTTTTCAACAAAATAGACAGATTTTTTTTTTTTTTTTTTTTGGGATATTTCGAAGTATTTTATTGGTTATCAACAACAATAACACCTGTCTTTTAAAACCCAACCCGGCCCGGCCAATTGAGCCGAGACCCAGGGTCTTTACGATGATGGGTTACCAATTTTATTATTCATGGCAAACCCTAAAAATTAGGACGATGATTAACGAATAATTGGTGGCTGAGATGTTGCGGGTTTTGAAGAGGAAGGAGTGGTGAGTGGAAATGTGGCGACGGAGGTGATTTCCAGTGAGTAAAACGACCGAAAATCACAAAACTAAATTAGCGGCAACAAAGGGCTGTTACTAGTGATTGGCGAGGTAAAGAAGGGTGGGGTGAGATGGGTTTTGTTTAGGAGGCTGAGGGGAGAGTTTTCGTGTTGATAAGGTGTGTTGTCAACGTCAGAAATAGGCCCTTTTTGGCATAGGTTGTTAACGTCGATGGTGTAATTTAAGGTGTTTTTATAAGATTTTAAACTTATAAGAACTTATGTGTAATTTTAAGAGTGTTTTTCTTGGATTTTAAATTTTTTGCATGATAAAATCACTGGGTTTGACCTGCCAATTAACCCGGACCTGTCCACTTTGCCGGTTTCACCCTGGCCGAGTTTTAAATCCTTGAATAACACATATTATGTAAATTGATGTAAAATTAAAATGATTTATGGCAATTTTGAATTGGTTCACCGCACACAGTAAATGTGGAATTCTGAAGCTAAAAGCTGCCACGTAAATGCATGGGGACCCTGAATTCAAGGCTTTTAATTAGGCCCAACGCTGCACCCACCCATAGTTTGCGATATATAAATTGGGTACCCAAAAGGTTTAAAAATGACAATTACCCACCTTCTATCAAAATCTGTTAACAAAATCGGTTTAATTAAGGATAATATAATAATTTCATATCTATTAATTTTAAATTAATCTATAAATCCCTAATTTTTTAATTTCATTTTTCTCCTCTCTCTTATCTTCTTCTTCATCTCTCCCTTCTCTTTCTTTCTTTTTCTCCGTCCTTTCCCTCCTGCCCTTTTTGTTTTTTACTTTTCTTCTCCCTCTTTTCCCTTCTCTTCCTTTCCTTTCTTCATCGTCTTTTTCTTTACCTTTAAACAACAATCTCTGCCCCTTCGGCTCCAGACCAGTCTCTTGGGCAAGAACCCTTTTCAAATCCCCTTCCATTGAACCAAATATACCCATTGAACATCAATTTCAAAATGTCTAATAATTCAAATGCTGTAGCCTATGCCTAGCCCACCAATTAAGTACTTAAATTCTTCATATCATTTTTCTTTAAGAAAAGAGGAAATTCAATATGATATAACGTATTAAACATTGTAGCTATTGGGACAATAATAATTCACAGAACATTATAATAATCAAGGAAAAAAAAACACAGAAGATAAAATTACAAACCCAGAAAAGAAAAACACAAAAAAACACAGAAGATAAAATTACAAACTCAGAAAAGAGAAGGGGAGGAGGGAAAAGACGGAAAAGAAAGGAAAGAAAAAGAAGGGAAAAGAGGGAGAAGAAAAGGGGAAAAGAGAAGGGGAGAAGGGAAAAGATGGAGAAGAAAGGAAACAAAGAGAAGGGAAAAGAGGGAGAAGAAAAGTAAAAAAAGAGAAGGGGAGAAGGGAAAAGACGGAGAAAAAGAAAGAAAGAGAAGGGAGAGATGAAGAAGAAGATAAGAGAGAGAAGAGAAAAATGAAATAAAAAAAATAGGGATTTATGGATTAATTTAAAATTAATAGATTTAAAATTATCTTTAGTTAAATGGATTTTACTAATAAATTTAGGCAGACAGTGGATAATTGTCATTTTTTAACTTTTTAGGTACCCATTTATCTTTATAACAAACCATGGGTTGTTCGGCCTTTAAATTATTAATATCATGAAAAAATATCGGTGTTGTTGGGGTCACATAATAAATATTTTCAAACATTTCTTTTTCAAACTCTGCTATTAGAATTTGTTTGACTTCTGAGTGGTGACCTGGATTCCAGTTTCAAAAAACTAAAAATTGGATTAAATTATGAATAATGATACATTTATATCATCTATTATACTATTTTTATTATATTATGATATCGTATATCTTATATCTATATAAATTTTTAATTATTTTAAATTTTTAATATTATAATAAAATAATTATTAATAAAATAATGATGATGTAATGAAAATAATGTAATGAATGATATAAATGTAATATTATTTTTATAAGAGTCTATATAGTATCTAATTTCATTTTAATTTTAATTTGGAAAATAATTTCTAAGAAATTTGAATACTTATTACTTTGGCACAATCAACGAAGGAAAGGTGACAGCGAACCAATTGACAATTATTAGGACGATCATATTCAAATATACATATCTGTCACATTTTTGTTAGGGATCATCTTTCAGAATCAGTCCAGTAGGAGCAATAATGACACTTAAGATTTTTACAAATTAAAGTATCATCGTTCTGTTGGATGAATATCGTTTTTTTTTGTTGTTTTTTTACCTAGCGTCCAATAATTGAGGCCTAACCGTAACAACTGCATAGCTCCAATTGTAGGTAATTAAATTAACTACCGACACTACGCGGGAATGAATTAAAATAATGGAGATCTTCCTTTCACATTTATAATTCAGATCCAAATCTACAAATAAAACAATAAAAAGAAATTTCACACTTCAACCAAATTGAAACGACATCCTAAAATGCTGCGTTTAGCGTTTTCCCTTTATCTGATCTTCACTCTAGCTCTTCTTCTTAACCTCGCTCACTCCAAAACTCTCAAGCGTGACGGTACTGTTTCTGTCATACATGTCTCGTGATTCATTATTGTGAAGTTTAATTTGGAAGTTGCTTTTCTTTCATTTACAGTTGTAGTTTTGTTTCAGTGAAAGCTTTAAATGAAATCAAGGCTTCTCTCGGTTGGCGAGTGGTTTACTCTTGGGTCGGCGATGATCCTTGCGGTGACGGTGACCTTCCGCCTTGGTCTGGTGTCACGTGCTCCACTCAGGGTGACTACAGAGTCGTCACCGAACTGTAAGCTTAATCTTTTCTCCTTTCAGCTTAGGGAAGTTTTTATACACATTTTTTTATTTTTTTATTAAATTTTTGTAGGCAAGTATATGCTGTGTCCATCGTAGGACTGTTCCCTACAGCTGTCACTAATCTACTGGATCTTACTAGACTGTAAGTTTCTCTGATCAATATCATTGCTGGATGCGTTTTATCACTTTATTGTTATTGTATTGCGAGAATTTGATATCAAGTGATGAATTTTATGTGTTTACATGATAGGGATCTTCATAATAACAAGTTGACTGGGCCAATTCCTCCACAAATCGGACGGCTTAAACGTCTTAAAATACTGTACAGTACCTTACTGCCTTTGTCCATTTTGAATAAAGATTATATCCATACATCTTCAATTTAGAAGTTTTACAAGTTTTAAGTTTATTACAGGTTGTTTTGGGTTGTTTTAATGGAAAAAATTCATTTTGTGACTAAATGCAATGACACAAATGCACTATTAAATATACTAAACGCACCTTGAATTTCGAAGCATTTTGGTTCTTGTCCTGGTTATTTTTGTAATAGATATGTTTTTGTTGTTCATGTAGTAATTTGAGATGGAATAAGTTTCAAGATGTCATTCCTTCTGAAATCGGTGAATTGAAGGGTTTAACTCATCTGTGAGTACTATTTATGTCTTTTCAACTCACTTTAATAATCATACATTTTGTTGGGGAAGCCTTTCAAATTATTTACTCTATTAATAACTGACAAGTTATTAACTTAAACTTGTGCAGATACTTGAGTTTCAATAATTTCAAGGGGGAAATTCCCAAGGAGCTTGCTAATCTTCCAGAGCTTCGCTATCTATATTTACACGAAAATCGTCTTAGCGGGCGAATTCCACCAGAATTGGGCACTTTACAGAATCTTCGACACTTGTAAGTTTTATTGTCATTTCAGCATACATGTTGCAAGGTAACTGGCGCATTTGCTTTTGTGAGGTGTCTCACAAGAGTACTGAATTTTCATAGGGATGTTGGTAACAATCATTTGGTGGGTACTATTAGGGAACTAATTCGCATTGAGGGCAGCTTTCCAGCTCTTCGCAACCTGTAAGTTTCCGCCAGTTGACAAATATACAATTACTTTAATGTGGCATTGTGCTACTCTGCTTATAAACTATATGCTAACTTCTGTGATACAAAATGCAGTTATTTAAATAATAATTATCTCACTGGAGGAATTCCAGCACAACTTGCTAACTTGACCAAATTGGAAATCTTGTGAGTATTGTGTCTTTTGTCCTTCCCAATGAGGAGTGTTGCTAATTCATGTATTTTCTTTATTATTTTTCCTATATCTATCGTGAAATCAATTGCTCTGTTGTTTGCAGGTACCTGTCATACAACAAAATGTCTGGAACTATACCATCTGAACTTGCTCATATCCCTAGATTGACTTACTTGTAAGTTCCTTGTTCTACACCTCTGCTGATTTTACAATTGTTTGAGGACTGATTATTAATTAAGGATTACTTTTACTGAATGGTAGTTTAGTAAGGGTTACCTTCCCTTTTTTATTAGCACTAGACACGTAAAAGATGGTTGGGATTCCGTTTCTTCATTTAATGGATTAAATCTCATTAACTTATGAGATGGATTGAGCTATAAGCTAGTTAGGTTCATTCACTGGTTTGTGCTCTTTGGTGGACTAAAGTAAAGTAGATGAATTAAGGAAAGTACCTTACGCAGCAACGAACAAAAGCCATTTTGGATTTTTTGAATAATAGTGATAATTTGTTGAACCGAGTCTGTAAAATGAGAAGATATATTATGAGTGTGATGGAATTAAAATGAGCAAGTGAACAAGAACAGATGAATAAAGAGAATAAGAAGGAATAGGACTTTGACACTGAAAGATAAAAGGTTGACATGAGGACCCAGGTGATAAGGAGTTTGGTTTCTACCTGCCTCTTTTAAGTTTTTTCATCCTGCAGATATTGGCAAATGATGTGGACCTGTTCAAATTCTCTAGTAATATCTCAAAATTCTTATTCTAAATAATGAGTTGTCCACTATGACCCTGATGTGTTAATAATGAAATGATGTGATAAATGATATATTAACACCTTATATAATAACACATAATTTGTAACGAGAAATTTGGGATATTACTTAGGATGTGTAACATTATTATTTTCTATTAAACTAGAAAAAAGTTACCAAATTAATTCATTTTCTAACTGACTGATTTATATTTGTTATTTTCATTTAAAATATAGTATCTTAAGAACATGTTACTTTGCTTCAAGATGTGCTAATAATTCAAAAACTGCGTATAGAACTCCATTGAAGCCAACCTGAAGTTTAAATTAGGAATAGTATGTAGATGCAACTTACAAGAAGTCTCGCATCATTGAAATTCTGATTAAATTGAGTCAACTGACAGAGAACTCCGATTGCAATTAAGAACTTTAATGGAATAAACAAATTAAGCTCGTGACATTTGTTTCTACGGTTACGAGCACGTTGCAATATATATACTGTAATGTGAACTAATGCAAAGTGTACATAAATCAGACATCATTCAAAGAATAGAGCAGAACACAAGAAGAAAATTGCAATTTTAGAGTGGATCACTGCCCCCTATGTATAACCCATAGTGCACTCACGATTATAACTTGCATAGTGTTTTTGGGATTTGAATCAATACCCTCATTGGACAATGTAGTTGCTTATGCTGGCATATAAGGCTTTTTAATTCATAACCAATTGTTTATTTAACGATTTCAGGTACTTAGATCACAACCAGTTTTCAGGGAGAATCCCCATTGCCTTCTATAAACACCGGTTTTTAAAAGAAATGTGAGTTTTCTTTACCATCAAACTTGAAAATTTACCGCTTCGATACCTATGTCTTAATTTTGTATGTTAATATTTACGAGATGAATTTTGCAGGTATATTGAACGGAACTCATTCAGGCCTGGGGTAAACCCGATAGGTTTCCATAAAGTCCTCGAGGTTTCTGACTCGGACTTTCTAGTTTAGTCAAGACATCACTCTATATTTCATTATTTATTGTGAAATCCCATAAGATGATACATTTGGTTATTTGAACTAGAACATTTTGATGTTTGTCCATCTTCGATCAACTTGTAAATAGCTTTACTGTAATATTTCTAGAAATTGAAGATTAGTACTCTGTAAACCAACACAAGACATAGCCAAGAGAAAATAGAAATTTGTCCATTTCAAGCTTTTCTTGTTGCCTAGTTAACAAAAAATGACATGCTTATGCAATGTTATTTGGTTGACAAAAAATCCACTCAACTCATTTGGTTACACACTTAAGATTTCAATGCATCAAATATTTTTTGCAACATGGTTTCAATGTATCCGGAGCCACTCAATACTTTTTATATATGAAATACTTGGAAAAATAATTTAAGATAGTCCAATACAACAAGTTGCTTTCGTAGCTCAGTTGGTTAGAGCACCCGTTTAGTAAGCGGGAGGTCTTGAGTTCGACTCTCAACGAAAGCAAAATTAGAATTTTTTTTTTTTTTACATTTTGACTTGAAGTCAAAGCGAAGGCAGCGGAAATTCTCTTTTTCCAGAATAAACCTCGTACTCAGAAGTATTGGAACACGTTAGTAAAGCCAAGAACTTCTTACGCAGAAGGAGTTCCCAGCAATTAAAATCGGATGCAGTAATTCTGATTGAAATAAAAACATTGACAATTTACTCAAATTTTTTTAAGACGAATTTAAGTTCAATCGAATATGTCCTCAAATTCTATAATCAATATAAGACATACTAAGAATTTACATCCATTTACAATATTAACTCGTTCATTGTCACCCAGGTGAATTTGTGGGGATTTTTTTTTTTTTTTTCAAAATTTGAACCCACAAAATGATGTTAAATTATCAAAAATTGAAGATAACTTTGTTGATTACATCTGTAGAAGAGATAATACCGAATAAAGATTGTTGTTATCCACTCATAACAGAATTCTTCTTCTATCAATATATATATATATTAATTAACGATACTAACAGTAAATATATTTTACATCCACTTTAGATTCTCTTTCATAGTTTGGTGTTGGTGACAATGAAGATCAAAGCAGTTTCGTTTCTTCTTCTTTTAACGTTGTTCTCACTGTGTTTAGCAGAAGATTTGAAAGTTGCAGTCCAAGGAGTGACGTCCATAGGCACAACCGATGATAATTTTGTGTGTGCAACTCTAGACTGGTGGCCTGTCAACAAGTGCGATTATGATCAGTGCCCATGGGGAAAGGCTGGCATTCTCAATCTGGTATTTCTTTTCTTCATCTTTTCTTTGTTTTTTTTATCTTATCTTCTTGATTTCTATATTGGAAACTTCAACTTAACTTTTCTGGGATTTGCAGGATTTGAAAAACAAAATCCTTTCAAACGCTATAAAGGGTAAGTTTTACACCATATCACGTTTATGCAAATAATTGGTTTGAATCTTTTTTTATTTATTTTTGGTTAATGATAAGTTTGGTGAATTCTCATGATCAGCATTTAATTCTCTGAGAATCAGAGTTGGAGGTTCATTACAAGACCAGGTTTTGTACAAAGTTGGGAACTCCATTAAAAAGTGTCCTCATTTCAAGCTACGAAAAGATGGTTTATTTGGGTTCAGCCATGGCTGCCTCTTTATGGATAGATGGAATGAGCTCAATCAATTATTTAAACAAACAGGGTATTTTACATATATACATTTCATCAACACGTAAATAAAAAGAGGATATATACATAATTTTAATAAATTTGTTTCTTTTGCAGAGCTGTAGTGACATTTGCACTGAATGCTCTCATTGGAAGGCACAAATCTAAAACTGACAAAGTTCTTTGGGAGGGTGATTGGCACTCAGAAAATGCTCGCGATCTCATGAAGTATACCATCACAAAAGGATATAATATTGAGTCTTATGAACTCGGTAAATCATAATACGAAATTATTAATTTATTCATGAAAATATGAACTTATATGAACGTGGGATTATCAGGAAACGAGCTATGCGGATCCGGGGTGAGTGCAAGGGTAGCAGCTGAGCAGTATGCTAAAGACATAGTGGTATTGAAAAATCTAGTGAAAGAATTGTACCCAAATGCCACAACTCAGCCCAAAGTATTGGGGCCAGCTGGTTTCTATGACAAGAAATGGTTTCAAATCTTCCTTGAGCAATCAGGACAAGACGTTGTCGATGGACTAACCCACCATATCTACAATCTTGGAGCAGGTGATTAATCCATCAATGTTCATGGAAATGCTTGTTTTGGCTTAAGGTAAGATGTTATATGTATGGACGTTGATGCAAATGCAGGAAACGATCCGGCCCTAATTACGAGGATTCAGGATCCATTCTACCTGAACCAGATTGCTCAGACTTACAAAGACATGGAAATGACTGTGAAAGAGTTTGGACCATGGTCAGGAGCTTGGGTTGGAGAAGCAGGTGGAGCTTACAACAGTGGTGGCAAAACTGTTTCTCATACCTTTGTTAATGGATTCTGGTAACCGTAAAAGTCCCTTTTGCTGCATATCTAGAACCAGAAAATTTATCTATAAATTTTTTCTTACTGAATTAAATTATAGGTATCTGGACCAACTTGGCATGACGTCAACCTTCAATCATAAGGTTTTCTGTAGACAAGCTTTGATTGGTGGAAACTATGCTCTCCTCAACACTACAACGTTCATCCCTAATCCAGATTATTATGGGTAAGTTTTAATTAACTAAACATTAAGTTTAATATAAAAAACAAAAATTATTACCAAAATTTATATTCTGTTTTTGATTTCGGTATCGTTGTGACCCTACACCACCATCAAATCCTATTCTCGTCAACCGCCAACAATCAAGTGACTATGATTTGCGCAGCCGCCCCTCCCAAGTTAAATTTCAATAAATCTCAACCTCCAAAATTTAACCTTCCATTACCAAAAGACTAATCAGCCTTCCTTCTTCAAAAGCCCCAACAATCTAAACTTTGCTCACTATTTGCCGTCGGAATATAAATTTGGATAGTAAAATGATATTTTAAGAAAATGACATTAAACCATTATTTGGGTTGGAAAAAGTTAACTCTATTTATTGGTGTTTGTGGCAATTCTACCAGGGCACTTCTGTGGCATCGGCTGATGGGAAAAAATGTACTCTCAGTTAAACACAGTGGCTCCCCTTATCTGCGTGTGTATTCTCATTGTGCAAGGGACAAGGTAATTAAATTAAAATAATGTTTCTCATTAAGGTAAATCATGTTATCTTACTGTGGTAATTGGATTTTGCAGCCGGGCATTTCAATGCTGTTGATCAACATGTCAAATAAAACATCGTTTGATGTGTCGGTTATAAATGATGAAAATTTATATGGTGAGTTTGTTGCAAAGGAAGATGGTGGAAAAATGAGAGAAGAGTACCATTTGACACCGAAAGATGGAAATATTCAGAGTGATGAGATACTGTTAAATGGTACTCCACTGAAGCTCACTAACTCTTCAGATATCCCTCCAATGAATCCAAAGCTTTTCAATCCTTCTTCTCCGATATCTGTTGCCGCTGATTCAATTGTTTTTGTAACTCTCAGAGACTTCGACGCACCTGCCTGTGCTTAGAAACACCATTTCATTTCTCATTTTCTGTTTATTATATGGTTTAAAATTCCTTTTTCTTCTAAGAATAGAGAAGAGTTGAGTGTAGTTTCAACTTCTTAGGTTTTTGTTATTAGAAAATATAATGTTACCATATTTTGGTTGATTATGCAATTTCTTTCCCTTATTGTTTAGTACAATATAGTGTTTTTATGATAATAATTGAAATTTGATCACCGGTAATCATGTACAAACTCATTGTAATCTATACGAATTTATTTTAGAAAAATGTTATCCTTACAAAGACCCATGCAAAGAGGGTTATAAAGTGACATCATCCAGAAGAAAAAAATAAAGAAAAAACGGAAAAAGAGAAAATAAAAAAAGAGAAATCATAAAAATCAAGGGTGGATATTGTCTTTGTATGCCCCATTTGTATGTATCTTTGTAAAACTAGCATTGCTCAAAGAAAATTGGGTTGATTATAAGAGTAAATGACTTTTTTCCACCCAAAATTTGCCTTAATAACATTTTTCCACCCAAAATATTTCAAAATACCACTTTCCCACCCAAAGTTAATATTCCGTTACTACCCAAAGCCGATTCTAGCAATAAAAATTCTTCCATTCGAATCTCTGGTCTTCTCTCTACAAAATCCCTCTCACTTCGACACTTGATTTCTCGCCGATTGCCGACTACAGTAAAAAACTAGGGTTTCTTATTCTTAGTTGATTTTCAGATGATTCTGGCTATAAATATTCGATTTATCACGACCATTAGATCTATCGGCCGTGACTCTACAAAATCCCTCTTATCCTACCTCCCAGTAACTCACTGAACGCAGAATGAGAAAGTTAAGTGTATTTTAAGTATTAACGGAATATAAACTTTGGGTGGAAAGTTGTATTTTAAAACTTTTTGTGTGTGGGAAAAAGTCGTTTACTCATGATTTTAAAGTAGAAAGATGTAGACCCATTATCACAAACTTAGAATTTGATTTTGTTATAATTAAGATTTATCTTTAATTGTTTTCAACTATATCCACCTGCTATAGTTTAGTTTGTTTAAAAAGCTTAGAAAATATATACCGAAGTCCTATTTTAATTCAAAATGTTATTGGTTAATATATTTAACTGTTAACGAATATAAAAGAGTTACTATAAATTTATGTAGAGATAAATACTTTTGAAAAAAGCTATCGAGAATCATGAATTGCATAATTTGAAATCTCCAGAACGAAGATTATTCTCTTTCTCAAGTCTCAACCCCTTCTGGAAAGCAACGATTCCTTTAAACACAGTAAAAGATTAAGATTAGATAAAACTTGGATTAAAGGTTTGAAGAGAAGGAATTTTTAATCCAAAAGTTTAAAGTGGAAGAATACTTTTCTTGTCAGAGCTTCCATGCAAGGTATATCAAACTTTGCGTGCCCCATTGCCGGCTATCCCTAACTCACTCCCTTAAAGCAACCATCTGAAACTTTCTCTTTTCAACTTTTAACGCTTAGCGTCTCCTTCAAATAAACGCGGTCTCCATGCATAACCCAGCTACTTCCTCGGCACACTTTATACATCAGAAGGCTCAAAATCTGCAACAACAATGGATAGTTTTATCCAGCAAGTCAGGTAATTTATCTTCTTAATTAACTCTGGAATTCATTATTCAACGTNCAACGATTCCTTTAAACACAGTAAAAGATTAAGATTAGATAAAACTTGGATTAAAGGTTTGAAGAGAAGGAATTTTTAATCCAAAAGTTTAAAGTGGAAGAATACTTTTCTTGTCAGAGCTTCCATGCAAGGTATATCAAACTTTGCGTGCCCCATTGCCGGCTATCCCTAACTCACTCCCTTAAAGCAACCATCTGAAACTTTCTCTTTTCAACTTTTAACGCTTAGCGTCTCCTTCAAATAAACGCGGTCTCCATGCATAACCCAGCTACTTCCTCGGCACACTTTATACATCAGAAGGCTCAAAATCTGCAACAACAATGGATAGTTTTATCCAGCAAGTCAGGTAATTTATCTTCTTAATTAACTCTGGAATTCATTATTCAACGTTGCATATATTGCCTATTTGTGACTGACGGCTTTTGTTAGGGTAAAGCTTTCGAATGTAGGACAAGAAAATAGAGAAGAAACAAGCAGCTCCAGCCGAAGAATACCACTCCAGAAAACTCAATCTTTCAAAGGAGGTACCACTAATTTTTCACCATTTCTCTGGAAATTTTCATTATCTTTGATTCTTGAAAACAAAAATAATAGAAAGAAAATTATAATCTTTTAACTCACATCACATACTATTTTTCTTGTAAAATTGTTCACACTTCAATGTTTAAATGGGTAAGATAACAAACGTGGAAAGGGGTGTTTTGCAGAAAACAAGAAAGCTCAAAACTGGTTACAGAGACAATTTTCCAGGCAAATGAGTCGGGGTTATGATTCCAACATCCAAATGGAGCATGCAGCTGCGGTGGCTGCAGCCGCCTATGCCATTAATTCTCTAGAAGAATCACGCATCCCTTGTCAGAAAAAGACCACTGAGGGTCCTTTTGCATTTCTCACCAGGCCCAGCAGCAAAAAAGAAGATGCTCCAATGTCAGTACAGGAGATAACCAGTGAGGGCCCTCAGCGTCAGCCATCTTTCACCAGACAGAAAAGCAAAAAGGATGATGTAGATGAGGCCACTAGGAACCTTGAGCCCTCTTTAACCAGGCTCAGGAGTAAAACGGAAGATACACCAGTCTCAATGACAGAACCCGGTAGCGGATCCAAACGGTTCTCAGGTAAAGATAACAAACATGAGAAACAATTTCCAGATAGTCATATTTATATGACCATATTGTATTATGTTTTAATAAAATTTAATTGAAGCGTATGAACAATGAGAAAATGCAATGATGAATTCAGGAGGTCCAGTTGATGAAATGCAAGAAATTGCTGCCGTAGAGGAGAAGACACCTGAAAAAGCCGTCAGTAGTCCTCCAAAGAAAAAGACTCTCAGTTTTTCTGATGAGGTCTCGAATAGCTCTGGTACTACACAATCTAAAAGAACACCATCAAAGGTCACTGATCCTGCTCCATCAATGAAAAGTAGTCCAACTTTTGATGATAGAGAAGCGCAAAAATCTACCATCAAATCGGAAAGGAAGGCAAGAAAACCCGATGCTCCTCCATCCATTAAACCTACAACTCCATCGGCCGAAACCAAAAGACAGAGTTCAGAAAAACCTGGAACAGATGAAACAGAAGCAGATGCCTGGGAGATATCTGAGATGGTCAAGATCAAAGAAAGGTAATCATTCATGCATTTTGATAAGTTTGTTGGATTCCGTATAAGGCAGAACAGAAGTCCCTACCGTGTCATTCAATTTTGAGAGTTCAAATTTAAATTTGAAATGCATTCACGCAATTTGAAATATACTTCTTCATTAATAGACAGAACATGATTTTCAGGTACGAGAAGTTAAACAACACAATACAATCATGGGAGGAGAAAAAGAAGAAGAAAGCCAGAAGCAAACTTGATAGAGCAGAGGTACTGCTATATTTTTTTCTTTCAAAAAATCCAATCGAAATTGATTTTTATGTACTGAGTCAAACTGACAACCAAGTTATTGGAGCTGCAGAGACAATTGGAGGAAAAAAGATTAAAAACCTTAACAAAATTTCGCAGTGAAATGGAATCTATTGATCAGATTGCAGGAGGAGCAAGGGCAAAAGCAGGGGAGAGTCGAAGAAAGGAAGAGTTGAAAGCAAAAGAAAAGGCAAATATAATCAGAAGAACTGGGAAAGCTCCTGCGACATGCTTCTGCTGCTGAATCTCTTCAATAACTTAAGCCTCACCTGGTTTCACAGAGGGACACCCAACTTCAAATGATTTACACGTAAATATGTCACACCCAAGATGAAATGATATGTTCTATTTCCGCTGTTAGAACTAATGTTTTATGTCATATATTTTTCTCATGTATTGATTATAAAATATATAAAAAACCTGATACCAAATGTTTCTAATTTCAAAGTTTCAAAGGATATAAATTCTGTATATCTTTTTATTATGTTTTAAATTCAAAAATAGGTTTCCTAATTTCCCTACATGGCACGTCTCAATTACCCAAATCCTATGGGAGCTTTTAGATTTTTGGGATAGTACATGGCACGTCTCAGTCACCCAAATCCTATGGGAGCTTTTAGATCCTTGGGATAGGGAGGATGAGGAAGGGTCTTGTTAAAATATCTCTTTTACAATTACTTCACAAGCTCAATGCTAATTCCGATTCCAATGTAAAGAACGATGATCAATCTCATCATTAATCTTAATATAAAATGATTATTGAAAGCTGAACCTTGTAATGGTATTGGGCATTCCAGTCCTTGTGCTTTATAGATGACAACAGGTTGGGTATTTCGGGGTACTTGGCCTAGCCCGTCTCAAAAAAGTCAAGTTTTACCCAATGTTATCGGGTTTGGGCTTAGGCTTGAGACTGATTTTAAGGTCCATCCTCAGATACGGGCCGACATGGGTATGTTTTCAGGCCCGACTTGGCCCGACATTTTATTATTAATTTTACTAAATTACTTTTATACTATATATATATATATATATATATATATATATATATTACATGAAAGACTATGGGTGCCCTTTGGAAGGAATCTTGCCAATTCAAAGTCACCTATATGTGCTATCAACTCATTGTCAAGAAGAATATTGCTTGGCTTGAGATGGCAGTGAACCATTGGTATTTGGCCATGGTTATATATATATATATATATATATATATAAAATTGAAATTTATTAATATTTGGTGAGTATTCAAAAATAAATTAATATTTAAAAACTGTTTCTATAATTAAAAATATAAAAAAATTAATATTTAATAATATTTAAAAGGCTTGGGCTTTACCCGTCATCCCTGTGCCAGGCCTGGCCTTTGTCATGGGGTCGGGCTTGGGCCCGAGCCAAGGGGTACCTGATCCTGACCCAGCCCATTGCCATCTCGATTAATGTTCTTTGCTAAATCATTCAAAACACTATGAACAATCTTTACTTGCTGGGTTGGGTTTTTCTCCAGTTGCCACTTAATGTCAAAAGTTCTTATTTCTCTATCCAACTCTTTAAAAATTAATTCATGAAGTTTATATAGAATCCAAAATAAGCATTTCATGGTTAAGATGGAAATTAACATCGAATGATTTATAAAATATGTAAAAAAAAAAAAAAAAAAAAAAATGTTGAAAAGTAGAGGAATCAAACACCATCAAATTTAAAAAACAAGGACATCGCCTGCCAGATGACCAAATACTTTCACAATATGAAATTACAGATTAGTCAATGCTTCTTAAATATCCCTTCGGCCATCTTTAAGTAGTCTCCATACTCACTTCCAGATTTCCCATGACCATCGCTATGATGTGACGAGGAGTGCGCCGTAGTACCTGCTGAGTGGCCAGAGTTGGCGGTGGTGGAATGTGAATCCTTTTGGCCGTACTTGTGCAGATAGTTCTCAGCCTGTCCCAAATATTTGCCATAGCCCTTATCTTCCAGCTTGCCATAGTTAGAGGCAGCCCCAAGAAGATCTCCAGCAGCATGAGCAACCTTTTCCTTATCTACCTTCCGATTAGAGTCATGGTTGAGCGTGGATTTTGCAGCCTCAGCTACCAATTTGGCACTAGATAACAGTTCAGAGGGAGATGGTTGGTGTTTCTTGGTGGGTTTGCTTTCAGAGGAATGGTGCTTGGTGGATTTGTCATGAGAAACTGAATCCATTCCTGTCCTGAAAGTATGGAAGAGAATGGCCTGAAGCTGATACCTTCAAAGGTCAAAAGATTAATGTGTAATTAATGAAGATAGATTGGTGGTGGGATTTTATTTCTCTTGCATTTATATATAGATATATAGGTGGTTCTTGTTATGACTAGTCGCGGTAAACGCGGGGAGTCCTTCCTTTTCAATAACGTGTTGTTTTTTATATTGTTGCCACAGCCCACGGGTTTCTTTTGGCTTCTCTAAATTTTATTTATTTGCAGGCTTCACTCATAAATCATAATGTAAGGAGTAGACGACTTCTTCCCACCAAAGGTTTGCCTCCATTACACTGTTCCACTAAAAAATTTCAAAATATCACCTTTCACTTAAAGTTTATATTCCGTTATTATCCAAAGTGAATTCTGATAGTGAAAATTCTCTCAACCACCACCATTTGAACTTCCTGTATCCTTTTTACAAAGCCCTTTTCACTCTGATACCTGATTTCTCGCTGATTATTGATCACTGCAAAGTTAGGGTTTCCTAATCTTAACTGATTTTTGGTTGATTCCGGTGGTGGATATTCAACCAGTCATCACCATTTGATCCACCAGCCTCCACTCTACAAAACCCTTCTTACCCTAGCTTTTGGTAACTCACCGAACACCGATTGAGAAAGTGAAGTGTATTTTAGGTATTAACGGAATATAAACTTTGGGTGAGAAAGTGGTATTTTGAAACTTTTTGGATGGAAAAGTGTCATTAAGGCAAACCTTAGGTGGGAAAAAGTCGTTTACCCATAATATAAGTGGATGAATATACAAGGATTAAAATCCAGCAAATTCAAACCACTCTGTTAATATAATAAAATTAGGTAGGGATGACCTCTAAACGAATGGAAAGAAATTTGATTTATTTTGTCTTTGAACTTGTAATAAGGAAGTAGTAACCGTGCTGCAGACTTTCACTAAGAGCTGACTCTGACCTAGCCAACACGCTGAGTTCAAGACTTCGAGATCCATGAATGATGAAATAACAAGTTTATATCCAAATTCAATCCAACCTTTGCTTCATGATTCTACTAATCAGAAACCAGTTGTTCAAAGTAAAATAAAAATAGCTTAACATCAACATGGTTATAGAACAAGCTAATAGCATGCTACAGATTTTATAATGACATAAAAACAGGAAATTAAGAAAGACCACAAACTATTTTCACAAATCACCAAACACTAAGTACACACTTAGATACTTGATTAACTTTAATGCTTCTTCAAGAAACCTTCAGCCATCTTGAAGTAGTCTCCGTACCCACTTCCAGATTTCCCATCATCATCACTAGAAGCAAACGATGAGTGTGCGGTGGCAGGGGATGCATGGTGGGCAGAATTGGGAGCTGCGTTAGCGGTGGTGGTGGTGGTGGTGGAATGTGAAGAGCCGTACTGATGAAGGTACTTCTCAGCCTTTTCTACATACTTACCAAAGCTCTTCTCTTCCAGTTTGCCATAGTGAGAAGCCGCATCAAGAAGATTTGCAGCAGCACCAGCAACTCTGCCCTTGTCTACCTTGTCAGATTCATGATTGAATGAACTTTTTGCCGCCTCAGCCATCAATTTTGCACTAGAAAGCAGCTCAGAAGAAGATGCTTGGTGGTCTTGTTTGAGAATTTCCAATCCATGCTAGGAAAAAAAAAAACTGTAGAAGAGATATCTAGATCTGAAACTGTAACTATGTTTATAGCTAAGGGATGTAGCAATAATTGAAGAGTTGAAATGGATGTGTGGATGTGGTTTCCAGTTCCACCTCTCTCATGAGTGGATAAAAGTTGGTCAATAAATGTTGGGAGCCCCCTTTTCAGTGTTGGTAACGTGTTGTTATATTGCTTTATTCAACCATGAAATCATAAATGGAACAAGTGGATTTCTCGTCGTCCACATATTTCTACTCTTTTCTGTGATATTTTTCTTTTTGCTTGTTGCAGGTGATAATATTAACTGAAGCGGCGGATAACAGTCTTTGTTTTGAGACTCTGAATTCGTTTACATCTCACAATGTGCCTCAAAATCAATCATCAATCTATCTAATTCCTTAACCGCGTCATCCATGCACCCATCTTTACTTATCGTGTCAATTTTCTTCGTCATTTTCTCCTTTTTAATTTATAAAGATTCATATTTATGATATTTGACTATTCTTCTTTTTTCTTTCCCTGTTTTAACAAGACTTTCAATATTATTTAGGCTTTCAACAATGAAACAGTAAACGACTGTTCCCACCCAAAGATTGGCGATATGGTAAGTTCCCACTTGGTTTCATATATTCTAATTACCCTTAAAGTAAAACGGTTAGCGATTGTGGAGTTCTCAAGAGTACAAAGGATGCTATTACCAAATTGCCCTCCCTCTTTTTCTTCTTCATCTCCAACCACAAGCCATTGTTTTGCCATTGCCATCTAGCCCTTGAACCATTCCATTCCAAACCACTCACACACCGACCAACTTCTTTTTTTTTTCTTCATCTCCCCTCCTCCGCCATTACCAAACTGCTCCCTCATTTCTTCTCTTCATCTCCCCCTCCTCTGCTATTACCAAACTGTCAGTGCCACCGTCGGTCGTTTGTTGGTTTTTGATGATGATCATCTTTCATTAAACTGCTCAGTTTACCCTTAGCCTTGATCCATCTTTCCCTAGTCAAATTTGGCCATATTTGCCAAATTGCTGATTCCAATGACCAAAACCCCCAACTTGCAATCACTGTCTCAGCCAATTAAGTCTGATTCTGTCCTCGTCCGACCACACCCCTTATACTACTCACCAAAACCCCTTTCATCCCCCACCTAATCTCACCACCATTTGTTGACCACCGCCCACTGTCTTGACCCACGATTTTCAAGCTTTTTCTGGTTGAATTGTGTTGACGAAAGTTGCCCCCAACCTCACCATTAGCCTCATCAGAGTCACCCCACCAAGCCCCCAACCTCCCCTACCACAATTGCACGTTGACCACTGCCGCCAACTCCTTAGGGTTTCACCGCAATTATCGTGTCTTCCCAACAAAATTTCGGTTGCTCCTATCATTGAAAATCACCCCCCCCCCCCCCCCCCCCCCCCCCCCCTTTTCTTTTTTGCACCACCAGCATTCCATCTCCAAACCCCCAAATTCCCAGCCTTGGTCGACCATTTTATATTTAAATTATAATAAATAACTATTTCAACCTTCAACCGTTAAAAGAAAAAAAGTATTAATTTAAGGGTGAAAATCTAAGTATAATGAAACTAAGGGTAAAACTTGCTATTAGCATGGTGTTTGCTCAACAAATGAATATAATTAATTCTTACCTACAGGCTACCACTGATCTGCAACCAGATTGAGTGTAATGAGACGCGGCAAAGTCGCTTCGCATTTGTTGAATTTTATGTATTCCAATTTAACTTTCGCCAGGCCCCTCCTCTTTGCCCAACTCCAGTTGGACCATTGGGGGGTTTAAGTGCCATCTTGGAATTTCAATTTCAACATAACATATTCATCAAGGGGAAAGTTAGAACTTTTTAACATAATTTATTAAATTTGGAGTTTTGTATGCAAGTTGGATGAAATATGACGACATTCTGTTTGTGTTGATAGAATGACAACATAATGACTTGAAAGGATATCTAAAATCCTTATATAGGGGAAGCAACAAGAAAAATGAAACATCGTTGAGTTTCATGCTGCTGGTTACATACAACAGATTGTAAACCCCAGAGGAGTGCCACCTGAAAACACAGATTCATTAATTGGCTTGCTGCTATTGCTGCAACTATATATGTATATATACATATATACAGACCAGAAAGATGGCTAGTTAATGTTGTTTGTGTTCTCAGGTCACCCCTTTGGGGCACCCTGTTTTGTTCATCTTCATCTTCATCATCACAATTCAACTCTACTCTCAACTAATGATCTCACTCTACAACTGCAAACTGCTATTTTTAATTTATTGTTTATGAAAAAAACGCCTAACTCACTTTCTCTTCTGTTTCAGGAATTTAATGCAGATACATCTCAGGACAAAGAAGTGTAAAAACCCTCCCATCAGAACTCAACACATTATCGCAATTTGGTCTTCAAGCTAATCAGTGGCAATTTTCCTTATTCTTTGTAAATTTTAATGATTTATCAGCTGAGACCAATGTATATACCACTCCAATGACAACATTGTTGACTTTAATAATGTATGCTTTATAGAAGGAAAATATTACAAATTCTCTCTAATATTAATCTTTATTTTTTAAAATTTTAATTAAAAATATTAAAGCAATCTCTGGCAACATATTTTTTTGTGGGACCTCGAGCGAAAGACGACAGTGGACGGGCAAATCCTTTCAGTAGTCATGTTTGGAGACTCAGGAATCATGTTAGACTTTTTACTACCAGCTACTATCTGGTTTATCACTCAACATTGCTCCAAAATAACCTAACGAACTGCACAAATTAGAAACCGGATACAACCTACCCACCGCATCGTAACTCATGTCTCCATTCCCCCCATCGGCTAAATTAATCAAAATTCAAAATCACAAAACCCCACAATCTTGAAGTTGAACGACCTCGCTAAAACCCTAAATCTTTGCAATCCACCAGAAGAATCGATCCGTTTAACATGGACATGGATCCTCCGAAACGAGAAGGAGACCGACCCATCAAAGACAAGATCTCTTTAAGCCGCAGAAACTGGAGATTCATCAACATTCGAATCACTCTCACCGCAACAACCACTCTCCAAATCTCTATCTTTAAGAAACGAAGATAGTCCGCTCCCTCCTCCACGTCGCCGTCTCTTCCCGTCGCCCCGAGTTCCGCTATTCTTGCTTTCCTTCTCCTCTCCTCGATTTTCTCTTCCACTTTGTTTGGTTTTGTTGAGAAAACGAGGGAAAATTATGATTTTTTTTATTTTATTTTTTTTTCAGGTGGTGAAAATACTCTCAAATGTTGATGAGTCGGCTAAGGGTGATCAACTCTGCAGATGAAGAAGGGTGGGCTCCCATTCATTCGGCGGCTAGCATTGGTAATACGGAAATTGTGGAAATTTTGCTGAGCGAAGGTTAGAAACTTCATACTTATCTTCAAATAGCTTGTAATGGTGATGTTGATGGTGTTTTTTGATTGTCTTTTTTAACGCTTGAATGTGTTTTTTAGTGAATATTTATTGGGTTGTTTTAGATCATGTCGTCGACTGTTAAATCAGTAATTTTATCACATAAAAATTCTGATTTATGCTCCTGGTTAGAGAGCTGATGTTAATTGAAGAATGATGGTGGCGTACTGCTCTTCATTATGCTGCCAGCAAGGGATGTTTAAAGATTGCTGAACTCTGTCTCACGCGCGGGTCAAAATTAATTCAAAGGACAAGGCTTGTAATTCCCCTATTAGTTTTATCATCTCATAGGAATTGTTTTGTGTGTTTTCCTAACCTTATGACACTGTCTAAGATAGTTTCTGTTTTATTTTTAATAATTGATACTTAAACACTTTGTATTCGTGTGGTTGTACCCCATTGCACAGGGCAGCTAGCTTGGGGAATCCAGAGTTGTGTGAATTCTTAATTGAGGAAGGCAGAGGTTGATGCTACTGATAAAGCTGGTCTAAACTCCACTTAGGAATGCATGATTTGCGAAAACAAGAGGTAAATCTTTTGTTAGAATTACTCGAGAAGTATGCTCACAGTTATCTCAGTGGCTTCTTTCCCCTGAAGTGTATTGTACTTGACCTATGTTGTGATTGGCCCCCTATTAGTCCACAATTGATTATTTTTTCTTAATCTATTGTGCAATTTGCAAGATATCATTTAATCTTGTTGATAGTTTTTTGTTTCTGGATTACAGGTAGCTCTGCTTCTAGTAAGACATGGAGCAGATGTCATATGCAAGACAATGAAGGGTTCACTGTGCTTGGTCGGCGTCAAGTGATTTTAGACCAATATTGCTTGATGCTGCTAAGCTATGCTTGAAGGATGAATTCTTAGAGTTTGTAATAGAATTAGATGGTGTTTTGACGATAAGTGGCTGATTGTGCTTCCTTGCTGAAGGAATGCTTTGTCAGGACTGAGCAATGTTGGGGGGTAAAACAATGATAGAATGTCGCCATTCAACTTCAGCTATTGCCCAACCTCTTAAGAATGGATGTGGACTTTATTTTCATTTATTTTGTCAAAGTCTATGCTGTTGTCTACTCTATTTTATTCCCTTTCCCTAAGCGGGTCTTTGAGGCTAACACAGCTTAAGCCTAAACATCTAGATTTAATACATGCAAGAAGGCAGCACACATTGTGGTGTGGAATTATCAATAAACAGGAAAGAAGAAAGAAAATGTGTGCCCTTAAACAGTCTGTTTGATGGTCTTGGAATGATGATCCTGGAAGTTTTACCTGTTGGATTGAGTCTTAGCTTGAAACCTCTCAGATGAGAGTGGTCTTCTAGATTTTTGAAGACAACATCATGTCGTAGTGTTAAGAGCATTCTAGTTAAGTTTGCAAAGTCAAGGCTTGATATGAATTTTTTTTTAACTATGAGTACGTGTAGTTTTTGGTGATTTGGGGTCTGGATTGTAGTTAGTTTTGAATTGTTGTGTTAAAATTGCAATGGTCTTAATTTTTATTGGGACAGTTGCAATGTCGGTGTTGACATTTTGTAACTTGATTAACATTTTTGCTTGCCTCTTCAGCTGCCTGTGGCTTCTGTTCAAAATTTCGCATTCATTTTTGGCTGTTTCGGACTTCAGTCATTGTTTGCACTGTGTGGTTTGTGAATAATTTCTGCGCGTGTGGGGACAAAGAGGGAAAAAGGAGGCCCACACCCAGTAGCTAACAAAACAACCTAATGGTCCTAAAGCTGGGAGATATACATTCTTGGAATAACAGATAGAAGAGAGGGTGACACAGTAACTCTTTCTTCTCTATTTTCTCTCTTCCAAGTTCCGTAGCCATTTTTCAGGCATAAAGAAAGATGTCAACTTCGGATGAACTCACACTCCTATCCACATGTAGCTATCCTCCCAAGCTCTGGTATGGACATTTGATGCCCTTTCTTCGACTAGCTGCAACACTAGTTCAACATCACTGCCGTGTCACTTTAATTACGATCTACCCCGACTGTCTCAGCTGCAGAGTCCTAAAGTTATATCTCTCTCTCTTCTCTGCTTTTCCTCAGATAACTGAAAAGCAGTTTCATCTCCTTCCTTTTGATCCCACTTCAGCCACTTCTGTTGACCCTTTTATCTCCATGTGGAAGCCATTCGTCGTTCATCTCACTCTCACTCCTCACTGCTCTCCTCTCATCAATATCCCTCCTCTCTCTGCCCTTGTCTTGGATGTTACCTTGACTTCCTCTGTTCTTCCTTACCACAAACATAGGTCTCCTACATTACATCATGTTCACATCATCGGCGAGATGTGTTCTTTTCTGCGAG